GTCATTTATTGAGATGGGGATGATTCTGAGGGGAGGTTTGGGGATAGGTAGCCAAGAGTTGAGTTTTGACAAGAGTTGAGTGGGCAGTTGGATATATGAGTTTAAAATTCAAGGGAAAGGTCTGAGCTGGAGATAAAAATTTGGGGGTCACCAGTATACAGATCCTTTCATAGTCACAAGACTGGGTGGCTGGGAGTTGTTTCAAGAACTGAGCCCTGGGGCATTTCAACATTTTGAGGGTTTTTTTAAATTTTTTTTATCCTCATCCGAGGACATTTTTCCATTTTTTGTACAGACAGAGTGGGAGGGAGAGAGAGGAAGAGAGAGAGAGGGAAACATCGATGTGAAAGGGACACATTGAGTGGCTGCCACCCGCACGACCAACCAGGGCCGGGGACAAACTGCAACCGAGGTATGTGCCCTTAGCGGGAACCGAACCCGGGTCTCTCCGGACCGCAGGCCGACGCTCTAACCGCTGAGCCAAACCGGCCAGGGCAACATTTTGAGGTTTTGAGAGATAAGAAAGGACCAGCAAAAGAAACCCAGAAGAGGGCCAGAGAGATTAGGAGAATAATCAAGAGTGGGTGGTGTCTTGGGAGTCAAGAAAGAAAGGGTTTCAAGAAGAAAGGAATTATCAATTGAATCAAATACTGATTGAACAAGAAGTGAGGGCTGAGATTTACTATTGGATTTGGCAACTGGGAGGTCATTGTTGATCTTAACAAGAATGGAAGGAGGCAAAAACCTTATCTGAGTGGGTTCAATAGAGAATGTGAAGAGAGGAACGAGGAGACAACAGCGAATGTGGTTATTACTTCAGGGAGTTTTGCTATAAATGGGAGCATGGAGATGGGACAATAACTAGAGATGGAGTAAAGGAAGGCCTTTTTTTTTTTAAAAAATATAGAAGAAACAAAATGATCCAGTAATGAGGGAAAAATTGATGCTTCTTAAGAATAAGTGGGGAGTGCTAGAGGGATGTCAATGAGAGGGTAAGAAAGATTAAGAGGGATGGGGGCAAGAGGGATGACTATGATATTGGGGCCTAAAGGACTAAATCGCATTAGGCAGGATCTGCTTTTTCTTCTGAGCATTTATTTGCATTTAAATTTATTTCATATTTATTGTGCTTTCTGTTTAGAAGTAAGAAAGGGTTGACAAAAAGCAGTGAAAACTAGTGTATCAGTCTGGTATAGTAGAAAAAAAGAAGAAATTGAAACTTCTGTGTAAAGTGACATTTTAAAGTGTCTTGTGCTATTCTAGTTCCTTATCAAAATTTATGACTGAGCATACGCTATAAACTTAATCGCTCAAAATTTGTAGTGGGATGAATTTTATTTAGCCTAATTTAAAACATGGTATTGAACATTTTATTTTCTCTGCAGAATTTGTTTAATATATATTCATGTACAGAGGTTTTAGATATTATATAAAGGTAATTAAGAACTAGTTATTAATCACCTTTGACTTATTGATGCTATTTTAAATTTTACAACCAGATCAGAAATCTGAATGATTCAGTTCTTTACCAGCCCTAAGTAAAGCATCTGTCTGTGTAGATCTGAGGTGAACAATCTTCAGTTTGCAAAAAATCATGTAAAGTTATGTTAGCAAGTTACTATTTCTAAAGCAAAAATAATTTCATTCATTCCCACATAATATATTTTGAATGTATTTTTCAAGAACAAATCAATATTTTAAAACTTAAGCAAATGTGAAAATTTTGAACTACCTTAGATAAAAGTGTGAACTGCATGTGAGAAACAAATTAAGTGGACTTTCAATCTGCTTAACATGAGAAAAGTCAATTTTGTGTATCAGACTTTCAGTAGATTTTGTATATGGGTAGTGCAAAAAATAAAAATTTATATATAAATCTTTGCTGCTAATTTATTCTTATTAAATTATAGAAATAAAGTATTTTCTTTTTTCCCCCCATCAATTTCCAAATTGTAGTCAAATAATAATCAGTCTTCAGAAGAAACACTTTGGTAGTTCTGATGCGGTATTTAAGAACCACTAGTCTAAAAAAAATTTACTCTTTCTGGGTATCCGAACCTCTTTGTGAATCTTACTATGGCTGTATTTTCATACATATAGTATCATAGAGCTGGCCGGCACCTCTGAAGCCCATTCCTAGAGATCCTTAGGCATGAAAGATCTTAGATTTTAAAATTTGCCCAAGATAGCTTATATGATTTTTCTTTAAACATTATATATAGACTTTTCAAAAACATTTGGCCCTTATTTATTGTAGTTTATTTCGTAGAAAAATAACTGCTGCTACTGGTTAAGAGGAAGTGAGTGAAGTGGAAAGGTCAGCTCAGGCAAAGACACCTGGGGGCCTGTAAGCTTTTCTCCAGCTTGACTACCAACTAGCTGTGTGACATTTGGGGAAGTCACTTGACTTCTCAGGCTTTGATTTCCTATGTGATTTCTGTAGTCTCTGCAAGCAGTTTCATGATATCATAGTAAAATTCTTTATCTCTTTGGGATTGACTCTGCTGCTGCTTTTTGGAGAAATGCCCTGAAGATAAGGTATTCCTCCATTGTACCTTTTTACTGAATATGACTTTTCAGAAGAGTTTATGTGGCTGTACTTTATCAGATGCCATGTAAGTGAAAGTTAAAATCCCAACCCTATCTAATCACTTTGAGTTTAAGCATGTTTTATATATTCTGGGTATAAACCATTGTTATTATATGTGTCACAATTAATCATCTCTAATTCTGTGGTTTGCTTTTTCTTTTTTCTTTCTTTTTTTTTTTTTATCCTCATCCGAGGACATTTTTCCATTTTTTGTTCATATAGAGCAGGAGGGAGAGAGAGAGAGAGAAACATAGACATGAAAGGGACACATCAAGTGGTTGCCACCCGCACAACCCAACTAGGGCCGGGGACAAACTGCAACTGAGGTATGTGCCTTTAGCGGGAACCAAACCCTGGTCTCTCTGGACCGCAGGCTGACGCTCTAATTGTTGAGCCAAACCGGCCAGGGCCTGTGGTTTGCTTTTTCATACCCTTAATATTTTTTTTGATAAACAGAAGTTCTTTTAATTTAGTCTAAATTATAAATCTTTTCCTTTTCATTATATTTTAACATAGTAATATTTAACGTCTTAATCAACTGTTTTTGTCCAAAGTCATTCATTTGACAAATAATGCTGTGGGAGATGGATGCATAAGAAATTATCCCCAGCATGAAAAAGCTAACAAGAAAATAAACCTGCTCTTAGGGTCCACTCAGTGAATTCATTTATTTAACAAATATTTACTGACCATTTGCTATGTGCATAGTACCGTTTTGAGTGCCACAGAGTCCTGTAGGTATCCATAATGTTAAGAATCCACTTTTTATTTTTCTATTTTTCTATTTATTTGTTTTAATCCTCACCTAAGGACATTTTTCCATTGATTGTTCAGATATAGTGGGAGGGAGGGGGGAGAGAGAGAGAGAGAGAGACCCATCGATTGGCTGCCACCCGCAGGACCCAACCAGGGCCAAGATTGAACTGCAATCGAGGCACATACCCTTGACTGGAATTGAACCTGCGACTCTTCAGTCTGAAGGCCGATGCTCTAACCGCTGAGCCATATTGGCCAGGGAAAGAATCCACTTTTTAAAAATGGAGATATTATTGACATATAGCACTGTATTAGTTCTAGCTATACAATATAATTATTTGATATATATATGATAAAATGATTACCACAATAAGCTTAGTTAATATCTGTCATCACACATCATTAACACATTTATTGTTTCCTTGTGAGAATCTACTTTTTAATAACCATATTATTCTACAGATTTTTGTATGATTTTTCTTGTTTGGGAGTCATTCTAATTTTGGTGATTGAAATTGTCATTTATATGTACTTGAGAACTTTCAAAAGTAATACTGCTAAAGAAAAGGCAGGACAAAGCAAACTGAACTTATTTTGGCAATGAATTAGACCCTTTGAAATTATTTTACTGTATGTTTGGTATGAATGGACATAATTAAATAAAAATTTTATAATCTGGATGACATGAAGATTTTTTGAAATATCCCTTGATGAAATGAGAACACTATTGGAGTAACACCGGTTAACAAATATACTATGTTTAAAGCATAAGGAAGATACTTGTCGGTTAGAACATAGTATGTGGAATTTAAATAATTTAAAACAAATACACTTTTGTTTTTAAATCTTTTTTTTTTTTCTTGAGAAAAGTTTGGGGCAGGGAAGAGTTAGAAATAAACGGTAGAGCCTGACTGAACTTTTCTTACCTTGAAGTCAACCTAATGGAGTTTATTAATCTTCTGAAAACACAGTTGATAAAAGCATCACTGAGCAGTGGATTGGGATCCCAAAACCTTGATTTTTACCCCCGTCTCTCTCACTGATTAAATAAGTGGCATAGGGAAAGTCACTTTAATTTTACATGGTTTACAGTCCAAAATGGTGAGACTTTAAAAATGTGAATGAAAAGTTTAATTAAAATTATGACTATACATATAAAAATGTTGTGAATTTTAAAGCCCTATGTAGGACAACTTCAAGATTTATTGAAAAAAAAAAAAGCCTTTTAAGTAGACCAAACTAAGGGCCAAAATTGTTGGCTCAGTTTGTTAATATGAAGCAACAAAAGGTGAAGGTCATTTGTTGGGGATGAGAATGTATTTGTGTATTGTTGAGATGAGGTGCATTTCATTTCTCTGTGTCTCTTAAGAAAGGGAAATCATCAACTACTTGCTTTTCCTTGTCTTGAAAAAGCTGTGGAAAAGTAAAAAACTGGGAAATTAGCAATTTAACTGCTCTTGAATTCTTTCCTTGCTATAAAAACTACCTGTCTCTTCCTTTCTTCCTTTTGGATTTTAGCGCTTTGGAGATTTGTGGGTGTTTTGTTTTTTTTCCTCTTAAAATCAGATAGAAATCTTTCAGTCTTCAGCTTTCGATGGCATGCCATAAATCTGTGTTTGTAGTCTAATTCCGTTTTCCCCTTCTTCTGTTGTAGGGAGCAAGAGTGCTGAAGGAGGGCCAGTTTCCCCAAAATTGGTAAGTACTTTTACCAGGCAGGCATAGTGTTCCTGATGTCAGTTGGATAATAATTCAAATGTTCAGTGAATTTTTGCAAAAGAGCTCTCTTCCCAGAAATGAGGCTTTGCTCTTTGCACCAAGTGAAAGTGAATTTTTGTCTAATTTCACATAGCCATATTTCAAATGCATTTGTGTTTCTAATAATACTGCTAGGCTTGCATGTTCCTGCATTCGATAACCTGTTAAAATGTAAAGGTCTCCTGTGCCAAAAATGTCCTTAATGCAGTGGTTAGAGCTGAAAATTCAAAAGTCAGAAAATTCTAAAGTTAAGGTTCCCATTGTGTTTTGTATTACTTAATATGCTGTTAAATTTGATGGCCTTAGTATATGTGCACAATGGCTAGGTTAGTGTAACTATGGGAACCTTGACTTTGAAATTTGGGACTCTTAAGCATTTATATTCTTCAATTTAATGTTGGATTGGCTTCATGTCAGATATTACCTTTTTAGTGTGTGTTGTTTTGTATAATTCTTAAGTGGAAAAAATAAAAAGAGAGAGAAATGTAGCAATGTGGGGCATATAAGGCAAATACATTTTTTTTTCTCTAATATCTACTTTAAAATCTACTTTAGCAGCTTATAAACCATCACACTTAATCATTTCTTTGAATGTCTAAGAAGTAATTTAAGATCACAGATTGCACAGGGCAGTCTAGTGACTAAGGATCAAACAAATACTAACCTTATTTAGAGAGCATGTATTATGATAAAAAATTAAATTCAAACAAGATAGCTGGAATAGAGTAGTGCCCTAATACAGAGCTATCTGTTTGTTTGTTTGTTTTTAAATTCTCTCTCTCAAATAGTAATTAACTTAGTGTATTGAGTAGATGTTTGGTTAAGGCTTCTTTTTGATAACTTAGGGTCCTTGAGGTATCTTTCTTACCTCATAGAGATTGGGCTTTGAACATAAAAGGGAGGCATTTTAACTAGTTAACCTTGCATTTACTACCTTTTTATTCTACTTGCCTTTCTCTCATGGAACTTTTTAAAATAAATAATCAAGACCCAATAGCCCTTTACTCTGGGTTGTGATGGAATCATAGAATCTTAGAGAGAAGGGACCTTAAGGGCCTTCTCTTTCAGCCTTTTACCTGATGTTGTAATTCTTTTTCTATATCCCTAATAGATTGGGTACATATTGAATATTATAGTTATTTAAAACTGTAGCTCATTATTTTCTATAATACATTCTGAGGAATTCTAGTTCCACAGAAAGGAATTCTAGTTCCACGTTACTGAGGTTGGGAGGGGGTGGGAAAATGTTCTGTGTTCAAATAATTTGGGAAATGCTGCATTAAAGTTAAACAGGTTTCTTTACTGCAGGACTTCTCAGAACCTTTAATATGCTAATGTGCATTGTGAGTCTCCAAGAGGGGGATATGATATGCAGCATTCTTGAATACTTCTAATGACAGGGAGCCCACTACCTCATAAGGTAACCCATTCCTTTTTTGTACAGCTCTAATCCTTAGCTCTTCCTTAAATTGATCTGAAATCTCTCTCCCATAATTTCCACTTCGATTAAGTATTTACTGCTTGTGTCAAGACCACCACATCCTCTATGTTAACCTTTGTGTAGTAAATATGTATATTATTCAGGTCAGGGTTGTCTGGACTGTTTTTTGTCATTAAATAGTATTCTGGTAAATGTGGCAACCAATTCTAAAATCTCGGCCTCATTGTCACTATGCTTCTATATACTGCTCTCCAGCCTTCTTCATTTTGAATTTCTGTGAGTTTTTAAATTTACTTGATGTTAGTAAATGATGTTATTAGTAAATGATGATGTTAGTAAACATGCTTGATTCCTGTAAAGAAAGGTGGGAAATAGAAGAATGTTTGTGTGCCAATTAGGCCTGGGCCCAGGAAGCTGAGGTAGAAACTGTATGTTAGAATGAACACTGGTGGTAGGGAGAGGTGCAGGGTGCTGCAGCACACCTGTGGAGGAGGGGGTGCTGTGGGGACTTGACCTGACCCAAAATACCACACCCTTGTGCTGTAAGGTATGACCTGTGCTGGTATTCCTTTTTTTTAAAAAATGAGGATGGGGCTCCCTGCCTCCAAAATACAAAACAGAAAAAATACATATTTCTTACTCAAGCACATTCAGACATGCAGATATCATAAATCTGTGCTTGTATGTGTGTAGAAATTTCATTTAATGTTAAGAAACATCAGTCTCACTAGCTGAAGTGATTTTTGTCAGCAGTTATAATATCAGGGTTTGAGCATAATACCTTGTCAGATGCCTCTAAAATTGGGATTGCTCAGCTCTGTGCAGTAGCATTTTTTTGTTGACCTGTGGAGTGTCACCAAAGAGCTCCACCACAAAAATAAGAAAACAAGTATTATATTGCTTTTTATGTCATTTTTATTGATTCTTGTTAGTAAATGTTAGTTTTCAATAAGTGAGACTAAAAGAATTTTATTATTTTTAGTATCCATGATAATTTTTAGCACTGTTAAAGATAATTGTTTTGCCCTGGCCGGTTTGGTTCAGCAGTTAGAGCGTCGGCCTGCGGACCAAAGGAGTCCTAGGTTCAATTTCTGCTAAGGGCACATACCTCAGTTGTAGTTTGTTCCCAGCCCCGGTTGGGGTAGTGTGAGTGGCAACCAGTCAATGTGCCACTCTCACATCGATGTTTGTTTCTCTCTCTCTTCCCTCCTCTCTCCCTCCCGCTCTATCTGACGATAAATGCAAAAATGTCCTCGGGTGAGGATAAAAAAAAAAAAAGGGGGATAATTGTTTTATCTCCTAGTATGTTAGATACATAGTATTTTGCACAAATTAAAACCTGATGTTTTAATATTAGGCATGTGACAAGTAAGGATACTTGATCTATTAAGACTTTATACTTTTTTATATTTAAAATATTAGTTGACTATTTAAAAAATAAAATAAAAATTTGTTGTACCTACTCAGAACACTATTCTGAGATTATAGAGAAAAAAATGGTCTTACAGCCCTGGCTGGTGTGGTTCAGTGATTAGAGCATCGGGCTGCATACTGAAGGGTTGCAGGCTCGATTCCCAGTCAAGGGCAGGGTTGCAGGTTCAATCCATGGCCCTGGTCAGGGCACGTGTGGAAGGCAACCAGTCAATGTGTCTCTCTCACGTTAACATTTCTCTCTCTCTCTCCCCCTGCTCCTTTCTCTCCCTCTCTAAAAATCAATGGAAAAAATATTCTAAGGTGAGAATTAACAATAACAACAAAAAGTGGAGTCTTATACCAAGTAACTCTGTGGTGTAGAGAACACAGAGCTAACCATTTTTAGGGAATTTAGTCTAGGGGCACAATGTATTATGGACTTATTGTTAGTTAAAGAAACTTTGTTGATGAGTTGACTTTTGATTGGAAAAAGGTTTATAGCAATTCAGGAACAGAGCAGTGTTTCTTAGCAGTAAATTCAGAGTTATCGCATTACTACGTTATTCGAATCATAATGAAAGACCTGGAGGTCACATATCTGCAAGCAGAACTATACCCAGAAAAATAGTTAGAAAACCCTTTCTTAGAGAATGTGAAAACAGGAAAGCCTACAATCCTCTCAGCAATATACTGTTTTGTGTGCATGAATAAAAGCATTAAATATGTTAGGAATAGCTTAGAACTTTACAGTTTACAAAGGGCTTTTCATATGGTATTTACCTTATTCAAACCTAACAACAATTTTATGATGTAGGTGATATTGTTCCCATTTTCCTGATTTATAAGCAAACATACAAACAGATTTTTAAAACCTTGAGGCTGAGAGTAATTACACGGCGAGTAAGTGGAATCAGTTTTTTGAGGGAGTTTTGGGACAGCAAATGTTCTTTACAGACATTACAGCTACCTTTCTTAGTAGTACTTGATTATTGTTTTTGTTTGGCTGGTGAGTGGAGTTTTCATTTGTTTATGTTTTTGTTTTTTTGTTATTTGAAGATGAGAGGCCATTAGGTGTCCCAGTGGTTTGACATGTATAGTTTTGAAGATTGAACAAACGGTAGTGTTTTGTACTAGGCAATTGTCATTTCTGATGGTAGTATTTAGAGCTGTTAGGTGGTGAAAGGCATTGTACCTCAGTACAGTGTGGCTGTTACTGTTTTGTGAATCTGTTTATATTTACCATACAACTGATTTGTTATTTATAACTTATTAGAGTTGGTCAAAATGAGATAAATCATTTTTTTCAGATTTAGCAAATCATACCTTCTTTATGATGCTAAAAACTGTCCCCAAAAGGTCTTCACATGACAGCTGTATGAGTTGTCTAAACCCCCAAAATATTTTTAAAAAGGAGTCAACATGTGCTTACCTTGATTTTAAAGCTATAAACATGTGTATTTAATTTGTTCCTTTAGGCAGAGACCAGTCTCCTAAAATTGACATCCAGAAAGAGACTTTTTTTTTTTTTTATCCTCACCTGAAGACACCCTTCCATTTTTTGTACAGATAGAGTGGGAGGAAGAGAGAGGAAGGGAGAGAGAGAGAGAAACATCGACGTGAAGGGACACATCGAGTGGCTGCCACCCGCACGACGAACCAGGGCCGGGGACAAACTGCAACCGAAGCAGGTGCCCCTAGTGGGAACCGAACCCGGGTCTCTCCAGACCGCAGGCCGCCGCTCTAACCGCTGAGCCAAACTGGCCAGGGCCAGAAAGAGACCTTTTGAAGAAGGATAGCAAATGAATCTCCTAATCCTCCATAAGTTTTTTCTATGACAAGCCACTACCTTTTTTAACCCTTCTTTTAAGTGTTGTATTTAGAAATAAAATGAGTAATTGGCATTTAAAATGTGTATTTTTGTGTGTCTCTAATGATGAAGGAAATCAAAGCTGTCAGCTCCTCATTAACGTGAGTTGCAGGCTTCTTACCCTGCTAGGCACTCTTTGACGTTTAGAGCCTCCAGGTTAAGCTTTGGTTTTACTTTGTCATTTCCTGAACATTTTGTTTCTTCAGTATAAAATTTTCTGATGCTTTATCTAGCAATCCTCAGTTTATTTATTTGTTATTTTAAAATAAGTGCATATTTTTTATGGAAATTTTTGAAATATTAATACTCTGAAAAGAAGAAAGTAAATAATCCTTAGTGCCACCCCCCCAGAGATAATCAGTGGAAATTTGTGAAAGTGTCGCCTGACTCACATAGACAGCTCATGGTATCGGGTTTTTACAAATTTTTGTCAGTTTGATAGACAAATTTATCTTCTTAAAATTTACATTTCTATGACTATTGAAGGTGGGTGTTTTTCATGTTTGTTGGCCATTGTTATTCTTCAGTGAATTGCTTTTTCATAGTTTTTAAAAATTAATTTGTGAGCACTCTAATTATAAATTGTTAACTCTTTGTTTATATTCTGAGTTCTCCATGTTTTTAACCTGTTTGTTTCCAGAGTTTATATGAGTTGGGTTGAGTTATGACGTTATATGTTACTACCAGTAAAATAAAATATGGCCTTTCTGATGTTGAAAATACCCCTTTAACTTTAAGATGATTCTTAATTAGACAAATATTGTAACAGATCATTTTTGGACACATTTTCTACAACATTAAAACTAATTCAAGTACTGTTTACAGGAAGAACTCTTGTACATAAGTCAAGGATTTTAGTAGGGAAATTATTTTAATATTTAAAATTAAAGTGACTGTAGTTTTAACATGTGAGTTTTTGTATGTAACATAACATTGCATGACAACAAAAACTTTGGTCTAAGTCAGTAACTTAATGATTCTTACGTTTATTTATTTATTTTAGTTTCAAAGATTTTCTAAGATAATAAGTAGCTGAAAAATCAGGTTTGTTCATCAAAACATATCTTCTTTTCAAATTATATCCCCTAAACATATTATCTTTATACATTTTTTGGTTTGTAATATTATTGTACAATAATCCTTTTCTAGCCTCTACAAATGTGGGGTTGAAGGAATTTTACACTTTTGAAATTTATTGTTTTTTAGGTTAGCGTATTTTGGTACTACAAAATAGTATATAAGCCTTAGGGGAGAAATTGCCAGTTGTGATGTTTTAAGCCTAGTGAGGTTAAGCAAATATAATGAAAACTAATATTGACAAGTATATATTGTGTAGTCAGTGATTCTTTATAACTGTCAAATTAGGTTTTAAAAAAGTCTTAAGAAAACTTAGATTTACTATAGACTTTGTTCATAGATACTTTTAGAAAGTGTAAAGATTATGAATCTCATTGAATTGGTTTAGAGAGTAGTGATTCTTTTAGCTTCCTGATTGTTCCTTTCCTCAGTTTTTAAGAATGCTGAAAAGTTTCTCTAACTACAAGTTTTATAGGTACGAAGAAGTAAAGTTTAAATTTATTCAGACAGAAGCAAACTTTGCTTTGGGAGAATACCTAAAATCATGTCGACAGCTACATTCAAGAAAAAAGGAAATATACTAAAAGAAATTAGCCACTGATTTAATTTAAATTGCAGTAGTGATGAGCAGAGCAGGATAGGATGGTTCACATTCACAAATCTAGACTTTTGACATTATCTGCATGTGCAGTTACAAACACAGCCAAAGATGCACTGGCAGCCTCGAAAAGGTGGTGTTCATTGTAAAACTGGAAATGTCTGTTGTGCACAGATTTATTTATGTACTTAACTTATTTATTTAATATTTTTAAAAATATGTTTTTATTGGTTTTAGAGAGAGGGAGGGAGAGAGAGATAGAAACATTGATGAAAGAGAAACATCCATTGGCTGCATGTGCCCTGACCTGGAATCGAACTGGCAACCTCTTGGTCCATGGGATGATGTTCAACCAACTGAGCCATGCTGGCCGGGCTAGATTTATTTTTAATACCGCTTTTATAATTTTGTGGAAAAAATATTTACATTGCCTTGTATTTGTGTTAAGTATTAATTTCTTAAATGTAAATCTTTAGCTTAAAACAGAGTTTTTCTATTTAAAATTTTAAAAAATAGAGTAAGAGTTCATCCAGATAAAAAAAGTACTCTGGCCTTTTGCAACCTCTGAGAGACCCTGAACTTTCCAGTTTACTCTGTGTGATGTTTAAAAATGTATGACCCTGTTGTTTTGTGTCTCTTTCTAAGGACAGTGTGTCCTGGATGATTGTAGTCTCACTCTCTAGATTTCCAACTCATTGAGAGCAGAAGTGGGCTTGTTCAGCTCTGTATCCTCAGAAGTTAGTGTGTAGTGTGGTGCTGAGCATGTAGTAGGTGCATAGATGTTTTCATGACCACATTAAACATTTTTTAAAATTTCTTACTTATTTGAAGTGTTCTGTAGACGAATACTCAAAGAATAAAACCCAGAAAGTTTTGGTACCAATTCAGTACAAAACTATTCATCTTCAAAAGAAATCTGTTTGGGAAATTTCTTGCCCTGTGCTAAGAATCAGATATTTTCCAACTACTATAAATTTATCATATTTACCATGAATATTTTCTTTATAACTAACATAATAATCCAAATCATTGATTGATCTCTACAGCTGCAGTGAGAAGAGGAGTTTGTTATTTTAAACAGAGGCTGAAGAAACTAAAAAATTAGCAGACATAAGAGAAAGTGGAGAAGGTAGAGGATGGAGTTGCAGACTCTACAGGAAGCTCTTAAAGTGGAAATTCAGGTTCACCAGGTATGTTGTATTATTGGTTTCTCACTCATCATGTTATTAAGTAATGGCTAAGATTAGTAAACAGGCCCATCTCCGATTTTTAGTACAAATTGTTGGTCATCTTTCAGAAAATTGTCCAATATTCATGTCATTTGCTTTTTATCGCTACTCAATAAACTCATTGATAATACATACCATTAAGAACTTCAATAAAATATTCCTGATTTCCTTTTCACAAAAATGAACTGAAAATATTTTTTTGTATACCAAAGGTATTAAAAAAGACTCTTTTTTTTGTTTTTTGTTTGTTTGTTCATCTGAGGGACTTTGTTCATGTGACTTATGACTTAACTTGCATATTTTAAATGAGATGTTTGACTTGACTACCATGTATAGTGAAGTTTTTACTCATTCAGTTTTATGCCTTGACTCCAGTTGTTAAAGAAAATGTAATTACCTTCACAGATGTTTAAACTTCAAATTTCATAATTTTTGCACTTTACCTCAGGTATTTAGGCTAAACCTTTAAAATATGGAAATTAAAAATATATTAATGATTATGTTTATATGCTATAATAATTATTAAAATGCATTTAATTATATTAAATATAATTTAAATATCAAATATATATAATTTTAATATAATTGTAACCAATACAAAAAGCTATTCTTAAATAACTAAATCATTAACATATTTTGTATAAACAATATCACTGTTTTATATCTCTTTTCTATACATTTTCTGAATGTGGTACTAGATTCAAGACACACACATATGTAATGTTTGGTTAATATAAAGTGATAAATGATGCATTAACTACTATTGAATGTTTAGAGTGTTGGAATAGACGAAGAGAAGTGTTTTTTAAAGGTGTTTGTTCTTAGGTATATTTTCCTTTGTTTTATCTGAATAGTTTAATGTAAGGTTGATTTCTGAAATTGTTGAAAGAATACCTTGGGCTTTTTGATAACTACTGAATTTGCAAGTTGCTCAGAATTAATGGATGAGAACTTATAGGAAAGTTTCAGAGGCATATATATCTATACACATATATGTATAGATACACACACACACACACACACACACAAACAAACATACTTTTTTCATTAAGTCTGTGTGTTCAGAAATTCCTGCTGCTGCTTTGGATCTTGTTAAACTCTTACTCAGTAGTAAGTAGTGTTATAGTTTGCTGTGTACAGGCGGGCTTCTCTGTGTGAAGTGTGTTTTGTTTTTATGGTACCTTGAAGAAGTTTAGTATATAAGCTGATGAACAAAACAGACTCGGAGACGTAGAAAGGAGTATGTTTCAGACTGACACACCTCAGAGGAGAGGGGTGTGGGGGGAGAGATAAGATAAACCAAAGAACTTATATGCATGTATGTATAACCACTAGACATAGACAACAATGCTTGGTGCGGGGCGGGATGGGGAGGAGGGTGTCTGTGGGGGGAAAAAGGAGAAACATCTGTAACAAAAATAAATTAATGAAAAAAATAAATCAATTGATAACTAAAAAGAAAGTTTAGTATACAATGAGTTTTATCTATTTAAGTTTAGTATATAATAAAATAAGCATATTTTATTTTATTTGACCTTTCTTCTGTTACTAATTGAGGAGAATAAAAATCTGCTTACAAAATCAAGATTGCCTTTTTCCTGGACAAGAGTATTTTAGCATAGGAGGTGTGTTGAATACCCAATTTAGCTGAATTTGCTGGCAAATGATGACAGTTCAGCCCTGGCCGGTTTGCTCAGTGGTTAGAGCGTTGGCCTATGGTCCCGAGAGACCCGGGTTCGGTTCTCGCTAAGGGCATGTACCTACATTGCAGTTTGTCTCCGGCCCTGGGTGGCAGCCATTCGATGTGTCCCTTTCACGTTTATGTTTCTCTCTGTCTCTCTCTCTCCTTTCCACTCTATCTGAACAACAAAATGGAAAAATGTCCTCAGGTGAGGATAAAAAAAAAAATGATGACAGTTAAGTTCACAATTTGCTCAAAGCCAACATCATCATAGAACAAATTTCTAGAGAACAATAATCAGTCTGAAATTTGCATGGATCAGAGATAACGTAATGAAGTTATATATGATTTTGGAGATATTCCTCCTCTCAAGAAATTTTGAGATGGCAAAGTTGACATTCTACTTTTAGTTCATCCTCACAAGATAGGAAGAAGTCCCAGTAAGACTTTCTTGAAAGACTCATGACCTAAATTGACCTAAATTACTAAAAATTAAGTAGAGTTTAAAAATGTTATTTTGTTTTATATATTAATTCAAGCATACCAATTTTATGAAAATTATAATTATGAAAATATTTAATGCATAGTTTGTTTTAAAATCAAATTTACATTTTAAAATTACATTTGTTGACTCAAAAGGGATATAATATTCTTTATAAAGTGATCCCAAACACTATCTTAATATTCACATTAACTGTTTATTTTTTTATATATTTAACTGTTTGTCTTTTAGCATAAAATTAATACCATTTATAGTCATCCTTAATTATTATACATTTTGTGTTTGCAATAATGAACATTTACATGTTGATTGATAGTTTTTTAACATATAAACTCTGTAAGACATTTTTATTCTAGTTACATTTAGAATACTTTTCTATTAAACAAAAATTTAAGCCCTGGCCAGTTTGGCTCAGCAGTTAGAGCATTGGCCCGTGTACCAAAGGGTCCTGGGTTCAATTCCCGGTCAAGGGCATATACCTGGTTTGTAGGTTTGATTCCCGATCCCCAACCAGGGTCATGTGGGAGGTCAACAGTTAATTGATGTTTCTCTCTCCACCCCCACCCCCCCTTCTACTCTCTTAAAAAAAAATTAGTGGAAAAATATCCTAGAGTGAGGATTAAAAAATTTAAGTGTTCCATAAATCCAGGTGACAGGCCTTGTTTATAAATCTGATGAGATATGTGGTAACCTACATGGTCACTGATCATGACAGTTCAGGGATGACAGAAAGGACATCGAAGTAGTCACTGGCTATTAGGCTGGGGCAAAAGCACCCCTTGGTGCATTTCTAGTTATGGATTGAAGTTACGGCTGAGATTGAGTTTACTGGATAGAAAGTGTGTTGTGAAACTACCTGGTATTACTGTCAGAGAAATAGATTTTTATTCTTTATGGATAAGGAGATGGTTTAAAAAGAAATAGTGTGCACATTACTGATGTTGAATAAAAGTTTAAATAATAATGGCCTGTGCCCAGCTGTTGTGGCTCAGTGGTTGAGAATCGATCCACGCACTGGTGGTCATCAGTTAAATTCCCAGTCAGTGCACATGCCCAGATTGTGGGCCCAATCCCCAGTGGGGGCTCTCTCTCCCTCTCTCTTACTCTCCCTCCCTCTCTCCCTCTCCCTTACTCTCTCTCTAAAATCAATGAAGAAAAAAAAAATGGCCTGTGATGGGCATCTTTTTTTTTTTTTTTAAGAAATTGCCTTTTTGATGATTCTTATGTAGATTTGATGAAGGCCATATTTAAACTTGCAGAGTATTTACTGTACCTGGAACAGAATTGTATAAAACAGAGGTTAGCAAATATTTTCTGTAAAGGGCCAGATAGTAAATTAAAATATTTTATACTTTGTAAGTCATTTATGATCTCTGTCATAACTACTCTGCTCTGCTGCTGTACAGACAAAGTAGCTAAAGACAATATAGAAATGAATGGGTGTGGCCGTGTCCCAATAAAACTTATTTACAAAAACAGGTGGATGGCCAGATTTGCCTGTAGGCTATAGTTTGCCAACCCTTGGCATAAAGTATATCCTCATGAAAAATTACTGTATTCTTGCTATAGAAAGTAACTTAAGTTTGATAATGCAGTGTCAGCTTAAAGTCACTAGGGATTTGGATGGTCTAGTTAAGTTGCCCAACATGTTCAGTCCTAACTGATGATGTAAAATGCAGCTTGACTGCTTACAGATGGAAAAGTTAGTTTATTTCCTCAGAGGTGGAGATTTAGTGTGGCTATCAGTGTCATGGAAAAAAATCATTTTCAGCTTTCAAAAGGCAATTTTAGTATAGTAGTCAACTCTTTGGTAACCAAATCAAAAAGGAAAACCAAAGGTTTTTTCATTGAAAAGTGTGGATAGCCTTTAGCTGCGTTAGTAAAAAATGTATATGTAGCCCTGGCCAGTTCGGCTCAGCGATTAGAGCGTCGGCCCGCAGACCAGAGAGTTCCGGTTTCAGTTCCTGCTAAGGGCATGTACCTTGGTTGCAGTTTGTCCCCGGCCCTGGTTGGGGTTGTGTGGGTGGCAGCCACTCGATGTGTCTCTCTCACATTGATGTTTCTGTCTCTGTTCCTTCCTCTCTCCCTCCCTCTCTATCTGAAGATAAATGCAAAAAAAAAAAAAAAAATGTCCTCGGGTGAGGATAAAAAAAATGTATATGTATAAAAACTTTGTTGTTCAATTTCACTGAGCTCTTGGAATGTGTGTTATTTTGTAATTAAGACTAGGGTGACCCGGCCAGTGTGGCTCAGAGGTTCAGCGTTGACCCATGCACCAAGAGGTCGCCAGTTCAATATCCAGTCAGGACACATGCCCATGTTGTGAGCCGGATCACCTGTGGGGGGCATGCAAGAGGTGGCCAGTCAGTGTTCTCTCTCATCGATGTTTCTGTCTCTCTCTCCCTCTCCCTTCCTCTCTATCTAAAAATCAATAAAGAAAAAAAATGTTTTTAAATAAATAAAATAAAATTATTTAAAAAAAAAAAAGACTGTGATGTACACGAGTTACTATTGTCACATGTGAAGTATATAGTAACATATATAGTAACATATATACCTTGTGAATTTGGAAGTCACATGGTTGGCAACCTCAGCTATCTAGAATGTAGCTCAGCACCTGAAGTAGCCTTTTGACCACGTAGAATAAATGTTAGAAGTCATTTACCAAAGATTATACAATAAAAGCTGACATTTTTATATGTAAGAAGGCAGATAAGTATATAATATGTTTTAGAAAGATTTTATTTTATGACTAAAAAATTTTAAAGTGCCTTGTCATCCAAAAAGAGGGACAGATTTTCAGTTATATGAAAAATTCACTTGAGGAACAGCTTATTCCCAGATAACTTTTAGGAATCAGCCTTCTGATATTCTTTTGTCCTTCAGATTCTTCTGTTCCAGGTTGTTACCTTTGAGTAGTGGTGCTTTTAGAAGTTGGGTTGTATTAGACAACATCCATTTTTCTTTGTTTTTTATTTGTTTGGACTTCTGCTTTCCTTAGTAAAGGTCTTTCTCATTCAGTACTCTGGTAGCACTCTCCTTCTCAGAGGAACCCAGGTAGGTAGAGTTTTGCATTATTGTTCCTTTACTTCCTTACTCTCAAAGACTGAGCATTACTGCCTCACTGAGCATATCCCGTCCTCCTACAGAGAAGACAGTGGCAAAGTCACATCTGACACTATGCTCCTTCTCCACTTTACTGTATATAAACAGGCCTGTTTTATGTGGAAGCAGCTTCTTTCTAGGCCTTATTTGGGACTCTGGACAATGACAACATTTTAAGGAGATGTTTGGCTTTTGGCACATCCAGCTTGTTTAAATTGCCTTTCAAAGTCCACCCCCAACCCCATCCCACCTCTGGATTTGTTAAAAAGTAGGAGCATTTCATTTCAACTATAAAGTGGTAGTTCGATTTCCTCCCCTATATTAAGAGAAATGTCTTATTAATCTTTTATATAGATAAAGAAGCTTTTGGTTCTGTTCGTGATGTTGCTCATTTTTTGTGTGTGGACTTAAAACTCTAGATTTTGGGGGCCAAACCTGGTTAGACATAGTGAGTTAATATATAAGACTGATGGCTCTTTCTCTCTCTTTATTACCAGAAACTGGTTGCTCAAATGAAGCAGGATCCACAGGTAAAAGACTACTTTTATTCATTTAATTTTAAAATAAAAATAACTTAAGACAAAGTGACCATAAAAATACTAAAATATAGACTAGTACTTAAGTTTTAAAAACTATCTTATCTCTTACAGCATATTAGTCTTCATTTTTTAAGGGTTTAGAAAAATTTAGTCATTTTCTTATAATATAGCTATCATTTCATCTTTGTTACTGTTATTTGCTTTTGTTCATTGCTTCGAGTATTTGGGATGGGGGCGGGACTGAGAGTTAATACTCTTCATAGAGCTTAAATTTCATTTTCATAAACCCATTTTTTCAAAATCAGTTTGTGAGGTTTTTAATGATCTCAAAATTATTGAATATAGCCCAGAACCATCCTTATTTTCTCATAGTTTATAGTAGAGATATAGTATAGAACATTTAAATACTTACTCGCACTATGTTCATAGTAAGAATTTTAGAATAAGTTTTAAAAAGCATTACAAAAATTTTTATTTTTGAAAGAGCCCTTCATCCATCAAATGTTACATTTTCTTTAAATTCTCATAGGAGTTTTTGACACTTGATTCTCTATCCCTGAAGAGAAATCTTCCTAAGAAGTTATCTTGTCTTTCACAATTATATTTACTGTTCAGGCAGTGTCTCTTTTGCAGCCATTAGACCGTGGATCATAAGTATGGAAAGTACTTATCAGACTCTTAGGATTTCTTCATTGCATTTGTTGACTCATAATCTGTTCATAAAACAACTAGACCCATTGATGGGTACTCAGATATATGTGTATATATCTCTAGCTTGTTAAACATACCATACATACCTCATTGTAAATTTAAGTAAAACAAATTCTTGGGTTGAGGAATGGTACTGAGGCAGATTGATTTTTGGAAGTAGGAATAATAGTCATTTCAAAAAATTTTGCACGCTATGGCCTAACTCTTGTGTTTTAACACACTCCATTGATAGCCCACACTTAATTTGTTTGACACTTGAACAACTTTGAGAAGTTTCTCCATGTTTCTTTATTTTTTAAATATATTATTTAAATTACATTTAGGGAATGAAGACACAGTAGATCCTGGATTAATAGATTCTTTTATATTTAATGTGTCAACCTATGTTATCAGCAACTGGAATATTATTAGAAAACTTTAGCATTTTCCATATTCCTGGTGGTCATGTAACAGCAGTTTTAACATGAAAAATCAGAGGAGGCAGTAAATGGTTGGACAATCTTGTGGATGATTTCATTAGAGAGATATATACACTTAAGAAAAAAGACCATGTGGAGTAAACATGAGAGGGAGGATGTGTGCCCCAACCTGGTGGAAGACCAGGCAGGGCTAAGTGAAAGAATTGCATGTGGGACGATGAAGAAAAAGCGGTCTCTTGTTGGGTGGTGTTCAGTCTGCTAGTAGGCTATCCTATATTAAGCATTAATCTTGCTTTTTAAATCTTGGATTTTTTTCCCCCACTTAAATAAAAGGCAAGCATATTCAGTGTATCTCATTTAAAATAGTATTCTTTTTCGAAGCCTAGAATTTGAAAACTGAGAAAATGCCCTGGTAGTCACTGTGTTAATTTGAATGATGTAGTATTAAGGCAGTTGCAGCACTGACAGCTTTTCAAATCTGGGCTAAAATAACAAATGTGCTCTACTAAATAAGGGAGAGGGCAAGTAGAAACAAACCTCTTATCTTTATTGATAATGCCGTTAAGCAGGCAGTGTATGCGTACTTACAACTCCCATTTTCCTGCTTTTGTCTGATTAGTGGAGCTTTAGGTTTTCTGTCAACTGATACTTTTGGTAAAGAATAACAATATTTTTAGTAGAAAGGTGTGCTGTTTTACAGATGCTAAAATATAAAACTTCTTATAATATAAAACATTTGCAAAGGAGTTGCCCCTGTTCTAGTGTAAGGATCCTACATTTAGGATCCATGCATTAGGTAGTTAGTGGTAATGTGACTACACTTTAACGCATGACGAATTTGATTGGCTAAATGCTTAAGGTTGCTTCATCATTTGTAATGCAATATGCATAAAGTCTTCTTGCTACTATTCTGTTAACAAATGAAATATCTTTCTCACAGATATTTTTTCTTTCCAATCAGAATGCTGATTTAAAGAAACAGCTTCATGAACTCCAAGCCAAAATCACAGCTTTGAGTGAGAAACAGGTAGGGGAAAAGGGCGGGGGGCATATTTTTAACATTGTGTTCTAAAGATATGTCTGCTTGAGGCTTCTAGGAGAACTGCTATTTTTCCTCATGTGTGAAAATAAGTGTGGGCAGCCAGACTCAGTTTTAATTTTGTTTGAGCTCTGTTTATCTATTTTTATTTTTGGTTGAAATCAGTCTCTAGAGTATCCCATGAGAGTGTATGTTACTGGCAAATATCTAAAAGCAGTGTGGCAAGCTGCTGTTAATTGTGTTAATTAAACTCTATATTTTACCCGTAGGGGAAAGAGGTAAAGAAGGTTAGTGGGAATATGTGATAGAGAATCTTGTAGCTGCTGGATGTGCCTTGTTACCTGTTCTAAAGGTTTGAAATGACATTTAACTAATATGAGAGACGGTTGTAAATAGATCGCTATAAATGTAGGTCCCCTATTTTGATTATTGTTATACCTTTATGTTTATTTTTATTAGCTGTCGACCTATTATGTGGAAAACTTTGGTTGAATCTTGTTAGATTTGTTCTATGTAGGGCAAGAGAAGAGCATCTTGCTTTTTTCCAAGGACATCTGGAAAGTATTTTTTGGAATTTCTTGTACAATGATCTCTACTTCACCAGTTCAGGCAGCTCCTGCCACCAGGTGGAGTGTGACAATTGATACAGCTATAAGTAAATGTCTGTGGTAATCTGACAAATCGTTGTTTTCTTGTTCCTTCCCCACGACCCTTCCTCTGGTTAAAAGCATTTTTCTATCTTGGAGAAGGTAAAAGTGTGAACCAAAATGATTAGTTGATTTGCAATTGATAATTAATGCTAATGATACCTCATTGAAGATTTTTGACTGAACAGTTCTCAGTAATTGATTTTGTTGTTTTTTAAACTTTTATTCAGTGAAACAATAGCAATGAGAGTAATTTATTCCTAGACACTTTTTTTTACTGTGTTTGTATGTTGTATTGTGTTTTCACTTAAGGGGAGAAATAAAGTTTAAGAACTATATGGAATAGATATGAGTTGTTAATGTTTCAAAATAGAATCTCTTTCCAAGCTGAGTGAACAACTGCTTTTTTTCTCCTCGCTCCTGTTTTAAGCTACTACATTTCTTCATCTTTTCCAGAGATGGGAGGTGTTTTAGATTAGGGAATTGCCAAACTAAAATTGGGAGGAGGTGGCATGGTGGAGAACATTTTTTAAGGAAAAATATAAACAGAGTTTATTAGTATGCATTTGGCTCTGATAGTGAGTCAGTTCTCTGAAGTCAAAATGATGTGTGTTAGTGAAAGTGTTCTAGCTTTAGAATTCTGTTAGAGCTGAGCCTCCTTACAGTTTCAGGGTTAGTTTGACAAGATGCCAATATATGAGTCATTTGCTGAAAAATTCACGTGTTCTACCAGGGAGAGAAGGTGAGAACTGATTAGTGGAGTAGGGGAGGGGGATGCTGTCACAAAGTTAAGACAACCTAAGGCTACATTTGAGGAAAATGGGGGAATTAGAAAGAATTTACATTTATCTAAAATTTTTGTTTGTGAGCACTGATATAAAGATTTAGTTTATTTCTGTAACTGTTTCTTTTTTTCCTACTAGGGACCTAGCTTAATAGAAAATTACAATCATTTATGTTCAGCAAGATATTTTATCAAGTGGCAGACTCTGTCATCTGAACTAAGCTTGGATTTTAGAAACTAGAATTTAAAAAAATGGGTTTAGCATCAGTAAAGAGAACTAAAGTCAGAAACTGAAATGTAATTTTGCAATTTTTTTTTCACCCGAGGACATTTTTTCATTTTTTGTTCAGATAGAGTGGGAGGGAGAGAGTGGAAGAGAAAGAGAGAGAGAAACATCGACGTGAAAGGGACACATTGAGTGGTCACCACCCACACGACCCAACCAGGGCCGGGGACACACTGCAACCGAGGTACGTGCCCTTAGTGGGAACAGAACCCGGGTTTCTCTGGACCGTAGGCCAACACTCTAACCGCTGAGCCAAACTGGCCAGGGCTAATCTTGCAATTTTTATTTGCTTAACTATTATTAAAACAGTCTTTTTGATAGAACAGAAAATGTATAGTTATTTAGGTAGGACAGTACTTGAAGGAAACACAGCTATAAAGTTCAAAAGCTCGTCCTTCCTCAGACTTATTTCCAACATGAAACATTGATATTTAGTTTAAAATAGTATTAATTTAGAGCAAGCTCCTAATGCTGAATGCCCAGCTTTTTGTTTTTTCTCCTCATAAGATCCACTTAGCCTCTGGGAAAACCATAATGATTTTCCTTCAACTTTAATAACTAAAATCTGAATTACCTTACTTACATGACTAATATTTTAATTTAACATTAAATTTTTTTCATTGTGAGAAAAATTTTAAATAAGGATAGTTCAAAGAATGTTGTATTCCAGAATTAACAGTGATTAACCCTTTGTCATTGTTTTTTTTCCAATCTTTGTCTATATCCATTTTTCTATACTCATTTTTTCTATATCTACTTGAAAACATAATTATGCAATAGATGCATACATTCTCTTACTTTGCTTTATTAAAAAACAGACTGCCATAGCCGGTTTGGCTCAGTGGTTAGAGCATCGGCCTGTGGTCCAGAGAGACCCGGGTTTGGTTCCTGCTAAGGGCGCGTACCTCGGTTGCAGTTTGTCCCCGGTCCTGGTTGGTTGTGCAGGTGGCAGCCACTCGATGTGTCCCTTTCACGTTGATGTTTCTTTCTCTCTCTCTCCCCCTCCCACTCTATCTGAACAAAAAATGGAAAAATATCCTCGGGTGAGGATAAAAAAAAAAAAGACTATTGCAGGTAGTCATTAATTCCTACAGTACACACTTATTAGTTTTTATTTGTTATTGCTACTGCAATCTTTGATACTTATTCAATTTCTTTCTCAAGACATTATGAAATGGGTTGCTAGTTTGGGAAAATATGGTCTTTAGGGAGCATCCTTCATGGCTAAAACTCAATGAATTTCACTGAATTCTTGGTTAGAAAGATTCCAGTGTATCCCAACTATAACTTAAGGTTTCTGAATAGAAACTTTCCATGACAGATTTTGAAGTCAACTTCTCGACCCACAGGGTCAGGTTGACAGCTTTCAACTCAGGAAATCCTCAGACTTGATTGGCTACAGAAAAATGTTATATAGTCACTAAAAATCATGGTTTCAAAAATGTTTTCATGACCTAGGACAGTGCTTATGACAAAATAAGTGAAAAAGCATATGTAACTTAATATGCATTACAGTCCCCTTTTTGAGTGTGTTGTAGGTATATATGTGTATAAGTGTGTAAATGTGTATAAAAGAGTATCTGTGTAAAGTATTGTTGGAAGGTGATGAATTTGCAGGTAGTTCGTTTTTTCTTTATACTCTTATGTGTATTTGCTAAATTCTCCACAATGAATATGTTTCCTTTATAATCAGAAATAGACAAGAAATATTAAAAAAAAATTTAACACCAAACATGTCTGTTTCAGGGATAGTTAGCATTTAAAAGTCTAATGACATTCTCCTCATGGTATATGAACCACTCTAATCAGAGAATCCAACTATTTTAAACACTAGTAATACTGAAATATGCAAGCAATTATTAATTTATTTAACATCGTTTATTCTCATTCTGCATTCCTCCCTCCTCATTTTTGATGCATATGTGGTCTTTTGTTTGTCAGAGTAGAGATTATGGTGCTGGAAGCCAAAGCACTTGGTCGTTTTGTGCTCTGCTTTCATTCTCATTCATCATAGAAATAATCATAACATCCCAAAGTATGTTGCTTGACCCTGTGATGGTGATTCAGGCTTAAGCCATAGTAGTTGCATTTTTTTCTTTCCCCTGCCTCAAACAGTTTGCCACCCCACCTGCCTTCACCTGGTGCAGTTCTGGCCAGGCATCAGTAGCAGCTTAAAGGTTACTTTCTCTGAGGACCTATCTCTGAAACCCCTTCCTCCTGTCAAAATCAACTGTTTCTCTTATAATCTCTCATTGAATCTTTCATTTTTCCTTAATAGCTCTGCCATTTAGGATTAGGTTCAGCTGTGAATGTCTAAAAACTCAAAGTGAAAATGGCTTAAACAGGGTAGACTCTTATTTCCTTCTCATGTTAAAAGCACTGTAGGTGGACTGTGGCTGGTGACAGTGGTTCTACAGTGTCAGGGAACCCAGGCTCCTCCTATTCTGTTGCCCTGCCATTCTCAGTGTGAAGCTTCCACATCATAGTCCAAAATAGCTACTCCATCTGGTAGAAAGGGGGGAAAGCAACAAGGAGCAAGCTCTTTATTTTTAAGGATGTTTACTGGAAGTTGCGTGGGCCACTTCCAATTAGATCCTATTGGTCAGAACTTGGTCAACTAGGAGTAAAGAAGGTCAGAAGTATAATCTATTCCAAGTGGCCATCAACAAATAAAACTCAGGGACTCTAATACTGAGTAAGAAGGGGGAACATACTAGGGATAATTAGTAATTTTTGCCACAATGGCTTATTACAATTTGTAATTACATGTATGTGACTTTTTAAAAATATGTGTCTTCCTTACTAGACTGTGATTTTCAGGAAGTCAGGGAACATATTTGTCTTACTTTATTCTGAGTATAGTACTTAGTATAATATTAAGTATAAGATAATATTCAGCACAGAAAAATATTTGTATTTCTTAAATGAATTATTTTATCCACCTGATCTTTTTCTCTGCTTGTAGATAATTTTTAAAAACAATGCATCTTGTTTTTTATGCTTTTTAAATTTAAAGTATGAAAATCTTACATTTTTTAATGTTCTTTAAAAACATGGTATTTAATAGCTTCAAATATTTAATGGTCTGGCTAGATCATAATTTATTTAACTATTCCTCTATTAGTTGATGATAGGGTATTTCCAGTTTTGCACTAATGTAAATATTGCTATGATAAACACCTTTGTATGTGAATCTGTTTCTTTGTGATTGCCTGAGGATAAATTCTTAGGTGTAAGATTACTGGGTGTAGTGGTCAGCTGTTGTCATAAT